ATTATTGTTTGCAGCAAACTTTGAAGATGAAAGAGACAAATAATCATGATGCTTTTTTTGGGAACCAGCTTTATCAGCAGCAAGAGTAAGCTGGAGTTACGGAGATAATACTGAAAAGCAAATTCCTTTGCTATTAGGAGAGTCTCATGACTTGAGTGTTAAACTGCACCTAAAACTGGAGGTATATTTAATTTTCAATACAATGAAATGAGTAATACTTTACATTTATGTAAAATCTTTTACCCAGCAATTGTAAAGTTCCTCATGAACAATGACCAACAAACCATGACTATCCATCTCAATATACACTTTACTTATAATAAAGAATGGTAACAGCTGAAGTTTATTAAAACAAATACTCAGTGCACCCAACCTGAGATGCTTGGGCCCTATTTTTAATCCATATCCTTAGAGAAGTCCTACACTACTGGTGTCATTCTAGATACCCACAAATCAAGAAACCCTGAACTGATTACTGGTTCACTTGTGTGGGCAATATGTACCCAAGATTAGCTCTGGAAGAGTAGGGACTAAATTCATGTCTTTGGACTGCCAGTTGTGAGCATCAACGACAAATTAGTTCAAAACTAATCCATCATCCAAAAGATCTACTTTTAACTAACTTCTTAACATTATGTTCCACCATATTATAATACCTGTTCCAAGTAAAACAGATATTGGATCCAAATTGTTCCAAAACCCAAATAACACTAATGAAAATGTGAATATACACACAGAATGAATGTAGACACACTATATGGAATTACCATCAAACTTCACAATTTTTTATTTTCTGGGAACAATACTGATTAAAGAGAGTTTTCATGCCATCTCTTAAGGCACTGCTTGACTTTGCTAGCAAGTTCTTATCCTACAAATGTTAACTATGGGCTTACCTTTCTTGCTACAAAGATTGGGCTGTGAACACAAAAGGGTAACACTGAATAGCTTGCTTATATTAGATTAAAAATGACAGTGAAAACACTTCTATCCCACTTAGCTTCTGCTTTAGTACAAAATATAAACTGGGTCAAATATTTAGATTTTGTAGTAACCTATGTCTGCCTGGAAGAGGAAGAAAAACAACTTGTCTATAATTGACAGGTTTTGATCTGTGATCTAAACAAAGTTTATTTGAAACTAAAAAAAACCCCCAAAACGTACATAAAATCTCACAACATATACTCTCCACAACTCTCCCCATTCCTGTTTTAAACAGCTGCTTGCAGTGATGCCTTTAGTCTTGCACAGGGGCTGCTGCCCATTCTGAGGCTTGAGACAGCAGCTTTCCCGGCTTCAAAGAAAGGGAGGAAAAAATGTGTGTAGATCCATCCCAGCTTGGGTGCTTCTGTGTCTCCAACACCCAGGGAGCACGTGTTGTCTGTTTCCTATACCCAAGACACATGTGCACATATCTGCGCCCTGAGAGCTGTGTATGTGTGTATGCATCCTTGCCACCCAAGAGGTATGCACGTGTCTGACCCTTCACACACCAGATGTGGGCATGCAAATGTCTGCACCCCAAAATATGATGGATGTGTCTGTGCACGTGCCCTGACACCTGGGGGTTGTATGCACATGCACACACATCCCAGCTCTTAAGGCAAGGATGAATACATGTGCCCTGACACCCAAGGGGTGCACACACATGCTGGGGTCCATGTGTAACTGTGCATTATGAAGGCAGGAAGATGCTGGTGTGCGCAGTCATACACCCTGACACTGGGGGAAAGATGGATGTTGGGTAGGGGTGCAACCTGGCACCTTGAGTGTGGAGCAGCTGTGCGTCCTGACACCAACGGGTGTTGTTGTGTGTGCAGCCATGCACTCCAATACCAGAGGACATGAGATGCAGCGTGGCCACGCACCCTGTTGCTTGGTGGAGTTGGGATGCGGAGTAGCTGTACACCCTGGTCCTGGAGGGGTATCTGGGTGCAGAGCACACCGGGAATATACGTGTGCAGGGCGGCTGTGCACTCCAAAACCCGGCGATACGTGGCCGTGGGGTGTCTGTGCACCCTGTTGACTGCAGGGGTGGGGTGTCCGTCTAGCCTGAGCCCGGGGGATAGGCGGCAGGGGGTGGCGGGCAGCCCGTCCCTGGCGCGGCGGGTCAGCGGCGCGGCCATGATCCCCACCCAGGGGCGGACTTGGGGTAGGGAGGGGAAGGGGCTGGCTTTGGGGCCCATGACCTTGAAGGACACCCCGAGCGGGTCGCACTCCCCGCCCCACGGGAGGGCCGCGGGCCCG